GTTTAACCCCAAAGTAGCCCAACACAGATGACACACTCAGGCTATCAACAGCCATGCAGCTAAATCTTCCTCATACTGCGGAGGCAGAGAGGAAGTAACTTGAGGGGCATCTGTGTCAGACATCAGAGGACCCACTCCTGAGGTAAATTGTTGCAAAATGAATTAACAAATTACGTTAAAACAATACTCACACACTCCTGCTCCCAGAGCAACATTAATGAGCTGAAGCTGGTATGCTGTTGGGAGTGTTCCTGTAAGAATCCATTTGAACTTCTGAAAGAGAAAAAAAGTGTAATTCATAGGTAATGCTGATATCTGAGTACTTGTTGAACTAAGAATTAATATTAGAACTGGAAAGATCTGTTAACTATGAACTATTGGTATGGAAACAAACAGAGGTGGATTAAGATTGCCCTGGGCCCTAGCGAGTTTGCCAGATTTTGGCCTCTCCTAGAGGTCTGCACTCTGTTTCTGTGAGTCTTGTATGTGTGTGAGTGCTTGAATGTTGAGTGTTTGAGATTGTGTGTAGTTACTGAATTCTGTATGTGAAAGAGTCTGAGTGTTGTGTGTGTAGGTAAGTCTGAGTGTGACTGTGAATGTTGTGTCTATAATATTTGAGTGTGTGTGGATCCCTTCCTGCTTGCCTTTTAACGGGAGAGGGTGAAATAACCGGTGACCGGTGGAGCAATTATTTTGCAGGATTCCTGGAGGTTCAATGGGGAACACTGTGGACTGCACCAATATGAAGGTCCGAACACTTTAAAAACTCCATTGCAGTCCAGGGATAAATTAATGTCTCAGAGCGCTGGCTGTGGCGTGTCCTGAGTCATCAAGAAGCATCTGATAGAGTTGCAGATCACAAAGCTCCCTCGAGCAGGTGAGGAGGCACAGAGCAGAGCATGGAGATATAATGATCTGGAACTCATGGGTCATGATGTGAACTGGAGTTCAATAGCAGTCTCAGTTAGTTACGCACTAGATGACAATAATGAGGTTGAAGTCCATTTACAGTTTTTGTGTATTCTCTTTCCACAAAAATGTACACCAGCTGTTTTATATCTTTGTGATGTTTGCAAACTTGTTGAATATTATGTAGCAAAGCAATCACACAGAATAGCTGGAGGCATCCATAGACAGCAAAGAGAAAACATGCCAAACCACACAAGCAATTTAAAATACAAAACATGAGGTGCAGTTTGGACGCAATCAATTATGTTTTATTAATGTTACTGCAATACAAGTTGTGGTCCAGCAGTCATAATCTGTTCAATGCAGGACTGAACTGAGCTAATAGCAGAATGTAATTTGCAGCAGCTTCTGCTCACTTACAAAACACTTGCTATGTTAATTGTGATTTCACACTTGACAGAACCTGTTTGCCTTTAGGTAACTTTCACTTCATAGCACACTTACTCTTTATCAGTATGTTCTACTTAATGTTTCTAACACTCTGAATAAAAACCTCCAGGTTATCACTTGAATAGATGTGCTTCAGTTAACCCTTTCTGCGTCAAGTAACAGAGTAGATCCAACTTAAATCATCAAGAAGGTTGAATAAAAAGAAAAAAATCTACCCATTACTGTTATGTGTTTTAAAATATCTTTCCACGAAAAGAAAAAGAAAAAAAGAGCAGAAACTAAGGAGATATGAGAATATAAGGTAGCAATTCAAATAAAAACCTGACAATCCTTACGTTTAGGGTAAAACCCAGCAAATGATATACCATAAATCAAAATGTAAAGGAGTACCTCTCACTCCAAAATGGGTGAATAAGGAATATGAAAAAGGAATAATGTTGTTCAAAATAAGAGAAAAAGAAGAAAAGAATGCTGAAGAAAATTTCTGTTACCAAATAAAAACACACCCAGTGAAAATTTTTAAAATAAATAAAACTCTTGAGCAGGCTTCTAGGGGAGCCACCTTTGATTTTGTTGATTTGATGCCCTAATGGAACTATTGCTTATCAGCTATACACTAAATATACAGTTTTTCTAGACAATTAGGAATGGCTCATATATTTAATCAAGTTATTTCTTTGATATATTACCTTCATTTCATTCCATGTTTTCTCGAGTTTCTATGCCCTAGAATGTCCCCTTAAAAGTTTGATTCATCATTTTGATTGAAATATATATATATATATATATATATATATATATATTATCTCACAAAAGTGAATACACCCCTCACATTTTTGTAAATATTTTATTATATCTTTTCATGTGACAACACTGAAGAAATGACACTCTGCTACAATGTAAAGAAGTAAGTGTACAGCCTGTATAACCGTGTAAATTTGCTGTCCCCTCAAAATAATTCAACACACAACCATTAATGTCTAAACTCTCTAAACCAACAAAAGTGAGTACAGCCCTAAGTGGAAATGTCCAAATTGGGCCCAAAGTGTCAATATTTTGTGTGGCCACCATTATTTTTCCAGCACTGCCTTAACCCTCATGGGCATGGAGTTCACCAGAGCTTCACAGGTTGCCACTGTTGGCAACAAAAGTAAGTACACCCCTAAGTTGAAATGTCCAAATTGGGCCCAAAGTGTCAATATTTTGTGGGGCCTCCATTATTTTCCAGCACTGCATTAACCCTCATGGGCATGGAGTTCACCAGAGCTTCACAGGTTGCCACTGGAGTCCTCTTCCACTCCTCCATGACGACATCACGGAGATGGTGGATGTTAGAGGCCTTGCGCTCCCCCACCTTCCATTTGAGGATGCCCCACAGATGCTCAATAGGGTTTAGGTCTGGCGACATGCTTGGCCAGGCCATTACCTTTACCTTCAGCTTCTTTAGCAAGGCCATCGGCATCTTGGAGGTGTGTTTGGGGTCATTATCATGTTGGAATACTGCCCTTTGGCCCAGTCTCCGAAGGAAGGGGATCATGCTCTGCTTCAGTATGTCACAGTACATGTTGGCAATCATGGTTCCCTCAATAAACTGTAGCTTCACAGTGCCGGCAGCACTCATGCAGACCTAGACCATGACACTCCCACAACCATAAAATAAGTGTATATATGGTGAAAAAAACAATATAAGACAAAGTGCTACAATCACCAGCAATGTGGGTCACTCCACCTCACATAAATAAATGGTTAAAACAGTAAAGAATGGTGAGAGCACAGAGAAACAATAATTACCCTTATATCCAATATAAAACCTGTAAAAACGCAATGGGAAAAACAGGCATAGGTTAATAACGTACAAATAATATATGTATGAGTAAATACTTGAATAAACTCACATATTCATGAGCCACTTAATATGGAAGCTGCCTCAGACTAGGAACATTGAATCGATTAGTGAGGTGGTCGTTGTAATCCAACTACTTAATTGCTTGCTCCTTCTTGCTTTACAAAATCCAGGATGCAGGATCTTTAATGAAAACCTTTATTCAGTATAGCAGCAAAAAAAGACAGCAGCAGTAAAAGTTAAAATTCAGCAATTCCACCTCTGCACACTAACGCATTTCAGCCAAAGCCTTTATCAAAGGTGCTTGACTGTAGTCTTTGTACTCCTCACCTGGTTCCCGCTACACACACTTGACACCATTTGAACCAAATATCTTTATTCAAAAATTGCACTTGCCGATTAGTCATTGGTGTTTATCTTGGTCTCATCGGACCACAGGACATGGTTCCATTTATCCATGTCCTTAGTCTGCTTGTCTTTTTCAAACTTTTTGCGGGCTTTCTTGTGCATCATCTTTAGAAGAGGCTTCCTTCTAGGATGACAGCCATCCAAACCAATTTAATGCAGTGTGTGGCGTATGGTCTGAGCTGTGACAGGCTGACCCCCCACCCTTTCAACCTCTGCAGCAATGCTGGCAGCACTCATATGTCTATTTCCAAAAGACCACCTCTGAATATGACGCTGAGCACATGCACTCAACTTCTTTGGTGGACTATGGCGAGGCCTATTCTGAGTGGAACCTGTCCTGTGAAACCGCTGTATGGTCTTGCCCACCATGCTGCAGCTCTGTTTCAGGGTCTTGGCTTTCTTCTTATAGCCTAGGCCATCTTTATGTAGAGCAACAATTTTTGTTTGAGATCCTCAGAGAGTTTTTTTTTTTTATCTAGAAGATTGGATATATTTAAACAAAATCTTGACATTAGTGGAGGAAAACATAGGTGGCAAACAGTACTATTATTCAATCTTTAAGATTAAGTTGTACATAACATGTAGTATCCGTTCGGATGTGAGCTAGTTAAGTTTGTATCCCTGAATAAGAGTGTGTCACTTCCCATGCTAGCGAAGATAACTGCTACAGCTCTATGTGTTGCTGTCTAGAGTCTTTGCAATTATTTTTTTGTTAAACAATTAGGGAGCAGTTTGCCACCACTCACAGACTGCCCCGGAGATTTAATGATGCTGAATTTATAGTTCTCTCAGCTTACCACACAAAATGGTTATCAGTGTAAAGATGTCAATTAAACATTATCAACTTGACTGAGGAGGACACAGTCTGTGGCTGCCACAGTGAACAAGTACGGCACCACAATATATCTGCTACATTGAGCTGCATAATAAACATAGTTGTAGGGGTTATGTTTAGATCGGCCTGTTATAAAACGGACCGCAGATATTGGTCCAAAATAGAAGATTTGTAAACATTTTCCAGCCCAATTTAACTAGTTTTTCTCATTTGGTCTAAAACCTGCAGTTCCCTTGTTAATTAACCCCCGTAGTCCTTAGACATTTCTTGTCAGATGAACAGCATTTTCCCTAAAACCTATAACTAGTTCTCTTTTCACGTCACATGAAAGAGATGTGCACACATTACAAACATTGAGAATAACTCTGCAACCTGTAATCTCAGTCTCTGCCAAAAGGCCGACGGTGATCTAAGCTTGAAAACAAGAAAGATGGAGAAAAAACAAAACAAAACCAAAAAGACAACAGTGGAGGTGTTTTCGTCACATGAGAGCAAGGTTACTGTAACCTTTCCATCAATAAAAGCAAAAGGCCTTCCTAGGTTTAATGAATGTAAGAGCATTGATTGATGGAGGTTTGACAAGTCTCAGTGTCACTTGATGCTTTCCCGTTTTAGGAGATGCTGGATGATCTCTTCCAACTTTTCAACTCTTTTTAGGCTGTCATGGCAGCAGCACTCAGGACCTTTACATGCACCCTTAGATGGGGGAGTTGTGCTCTGGCCCAGTCCTTCACTGACCAACTTTTCAGCGATGTTTAAATGCCCCGTGGAGTGCAGCTGTTCCATGGACACGGCGTAGATGTCCCCATTCACACCCAAGACTGTTAAGGCAACCGCTTTCTGCAGAGTTAGCGGGTTTAACTGCTCAATACACTCTGCAGACCACTTTTCTGAAACCTGTGTCACTCATGCAAGGCTGCACTTTACAATCTGCACAGGGAGCACCAGCGAACTCTCTCTTATCGGATGGAGGGATGAGAAAGGCAGGGTTTCAATGTTTCTATAGTCTACGTATATGACTTTAGCAGCACATTCAGAGGTGTCCAGTACCAGTGCTCTGTAAAACTGCCCATCAGCTGTGAACTGGGAACAGCACATTTCACCAACAGATGGTGTAAATCTCCCACCATTTCGCTCTGCGTTACAGTAGCCAGCAATGTCTACCAATACTCGCTGAAGCCTTTGAACTCTCATCTCATCAGCTTTGATTTCTTTAGGGAAAATGAAAAACAGGTCCGGACTGATCACACTAATCACGCAAGCTTGTAATGCTTCATTTAGTGGCAAATCTATAGATTTCCACTGCCGGTTATCACAGACATCGTCCTGACGTTTATTAAGGGTCATTTTATTCACTACGGAAGATTCTTTGGACAAATCCTTCATCGGTTCAACTGACGAAGTTTGTTTTGTGACAGGCAAAATGCTGCTACCAGATGGATCTGTAACTGCAGGAGCTTCCCTATTTGCAGAATATCTATTTGATGTAATCTCCCTGGGCGAGGTGTCTGGCACATTTATTTTATGTACTGATTTAGAGTCGCCGCTTGACATTCTGTTTTTCCTGTCGTCATCAGAAATGGCTGCTCCCTCTGCAATGAGAGCATCACTGATTAGCTTACTGCTCTTTGTATCCACAAGTTCCACAGAGTAGCCATCTTCATGCTTACTAACCGTTTTAGCCTGAAGCCTATGGCTAGCTACACACATCTGAAACTTCTCACATGATTCTCGTCCTCCAGTTCTTTCATATAGACTGCATTTGACTGCATTTGACTGCTTGAAAAGGAAAATTGTGAGGGCATTTTGCAGAGTTTATCAACAGCCACTTCCTCTATATTCTCATAATCCAAAAAGTTTACTTTTGCCTTCTCAGTCTCGATAAGCTGATCACCTGTGCCCGGGACCAATTTTTATCACCAGAGAAAAGAGAGCAACACAGCTCCCCCTGCTTTGGATTATAATCTTTGGACTGATGCTTCAAGCAATGCTGACTCAGCAACCACTTCTCTGAGCGACGATAAATCTTTCTCACTGCAGAGCTGGCAGTAGAATTCTCCTGGGCATAGCAGCACACAAACTACAACTTCAATAGGACGTCCATGGGCATCCGCAGGGGGGCAAGAGGGGGCACTTGCCCCCCCCCCTCCCCCCGGATTATTCAGCTTGTTCTGCTATTTTTCGTGAGATTTAGAATGAACTTCAATACCGGCGCCGGCCAGTAGGTGGCGCTGTGTATGGGGAGAGACAGGGATAGGAAGCTGCATCTTATCCCTGCTTCTCTCTGCTGATTGAAACCGCAGGGGAACAACACATGCAGCCAGAGACAGCCTACAGATCAGGGGAGTGGGGGGAGGGTTTGAGATAGCCTATAGATTTTGGGGGCAGCAGCCTATAGATTTGGGCAGCAGCCTATAGATTTGGGGGGCAGCAGCCTATAGATTTGGGGGCAGCAGCAGCAGATTAGGATGGGGGAGGGTTTGAGATAGCCTAGATTTGGGCAGCAGCCATGGGGGAGGGGAGATAGCCTATAGATTTGCAGATAGGATTAGGGGAGTGAGGGATGGGGGGAGGTTTGAGATAGCCTATAGACTTGGGGCGGGCAGCAGCCTATAGATTAGGAGAGTGAGGCTGGGGTGGCAGCAGCCTATAGATTAGGGGGTGAGACGGGGGCAGCAACCTATAGATTAGGGGAGTGAGTGAGGGATGGGGGGGGCAGCAGCCTATAGATTAGGGGAGTGAGACGGGGGGTGGCAGCAGTCTATAGATTAGGGGAGTGAGGCTGGGGGGGCAGCCTATTGCATTAGGGTGTGCACCCTAAAGCACAAACACATGCCATGTGTATATGTATATGTATGTGTGTATATATATATATATATACTGCTGTGTGAGGGTGCTGGTAGGGTGCTATGTGGGTGAGGGTGTTTTTGTGTGTGTTTGTGAGAGTGCTGTTAGTGTGCTGTGTGTGAGGGTGCTGTTTGTGTGGGAACTGGTAGTGCGCTGTGTGTGTGTGTGTGTGTGTGTGTGAGAGGGTGTTTGTGTGTACGTGTTTGTTCAGGTTCTGTTAGTGTGCTGTGTGTGTGTGTTGTGTGTTTGTCAGGGTGCTGTTTGTGTGTGAGTGTGCTGTTTGTGTGTGGGTTTTGTGTGTTTGTGAGGATGCTGTTAGTGTGTTGGGTGTGTGTGGGTGCTGTGTGTGCAAGGGTGATGTATGTGTGTGGGTGCTGTTTGTGGGCTGTGTGTGCTGTGTGTGTGCTGTATGTTTGGGTGGAGGTGGGGGCAGATTAGTTAATATCCCAGTCCTGCTGCCTTCCCTGGTGATTCAGTGGAGAGTGAACTCTAGCCTGGGTTCTCTGCTGCCTCCCTCCATGCTGCTGTGGACCGGTGAGGTAGAACTTTGATCTCCCCACCGGCCCATGGAGGCTTAGACCGGAGCCGCCGCTCCGCGTTGCGTCGGCTCTGCATGAGCCGACCGGGGAGATCCAGAGATCTCCCCTGCCGGTCTCAATCCATTGGCGTGCCCATGCACACCCTGTGCGCACGCCTATGGAAGTGAGGGATGGGGGAGACAGCCTACATGAAGAGTCAGCAAGGAGCAGGAAGGTAAAGTAAGAAAAGGAGAAGGAACAGAAATGAGCAGGAAGGGACATCAAGGAGCAGAAAGGGGCAGCAAGGAGCTGGAAGGGACAGCAAGGAGCACAAAAGGTAAAGTAGGAGAAGGAGCAGAAAGGAACAGAAATGAACAGGAAGGGTCAGCAAGGAGCTGAAAGGTAAAGCAGCACAAAGGTAAAGTAGATGGAGCAGAAAGGGTCAGAAATTAGCTGGAAGGGGCAGAAGGAGCACAAAGGTAAAATAGGAGAATGAGCAGGAAGGGCCTGCAAAGAGCAGGAAGGGCCTGCAAGGAGCAGGAAGGAGCACAAAGGTAAAGGAGCAGAAAGAATTAGAAGGAGCACAAAGGTAAAGTAGGAGAAGGAGCAGAAAGGGTCAGCAAGGAGCACAAAGATAAAGTAGAAAAGGGAGCAGAAAGGGTCTGCAAGGAGCAGAAAGGGATCAGAATGAGAAAGGAGCAGAAGGGCGCAAAATAAGCAGAAAGTAGCAGAAAGGTAAAAGAGCAGAAGGGGCCAAGGATAGAAAACAGTGTCAGAAGATAAAAAAAAAGACTGTCAAATGAAGGAGAGGAAAAGGAGATTGGAGCAGGAAGGACAAATGAAGTGAACCCTCCACTTTATTCTGGACACCACATCATAAGGCTTTGGTACCTGGGCCTGGCAGGGAAACGCTGGACCTTCTCATCTCCAAAGGTAAAAAAATATCAGTATTAATGTGTTCACTTTTATTTACTGAGTGTCAGGAAGCACAGAGTGCCGTTGGGTAGGGGTGTTGCTGATTGGCTAGAGCGGTCAGCTGGCACTCTAAGCCAATCAGTAGCTCCCCATTCATAAAAAAGTAAAAATATTTTATGAACCGGGAACTAGCGATTGGCTTAGAGCGTCAACTGTCCACTCTAGCCAATCAGCGGCACCCATGCCTGACGTCAATCTGCACTTCCTGACACTCTGTTTCAGAAGCCAAATACCACTGAGCGACCTGGAGCTGGAGGAAGCCTTTGGGGTTAAACCATTTGAGAGTGATTTAACCCCTTAAAGGAAAGCGAGCACCCAGGGGCTTCCTGGCATCATAGCATTTTTATTTAGGTGAAGTTGTTATGGTGACCAGAATGGTCCTTTAATTTGCTTAAAGGAACACTATAGTGTCAGGAATACAAACATATATTCCTGACACCATAGTTGTGAAAACGCTATTCACCCTGGCTTTATGTGATAATGGCTATGCCCCTTCCCTTTCATGACACTGTCAAAAAGGTACCAAGCATGGATGTCATTACAATTATGCCCCCTCCTGGAAAAATTCCTGCGGACGCCCATGAGGACGTCCAATAGGAAGCTCAATCCATTTCAATGGCAGTGAATCTACATCGTTAGGCTTACTGTCTTCTAAACTGTGAGATTTGGCACTCATGATCTCTTTTTTAACTGCCATGCCAGCCTTAATCAGGTAATTTGAGATTAGAAGCTAAGGATTCATGGACACATCCAGAAGATCAAGGAGAACTCTGTCTGTGCTACCACTTTAACCATGATTATCTTGTTGGTAACTAGCGTCATCATAGCAGCTGTAGCCTCTTTAGACCACGTTTCAGAGGGAGGTCTAACACCTGCTAAACTTCACTTCATGGCTTGTAAAGGTAACATCATCATACTGGGGAGAAGGGGTCGGAGTCTGGAGACAGATAATAGCTCCACATTTCCATAATCTACGTAGCCAACAAGCACAGAATCCTGTGATGTGTACTTTAGAATGCTAGCTCGGTACCAGCGGTCATCCTCTGTAAACTGTGCGCTGCACATATCCCCCACAGCTGGGACAAAACTATGACTGTCCGGCATTACTTTGTAATGTTTGCTCATGCTGTCCATGAGCTCGGCAAGATCTTTTGCATTCTGCAGCTGCTGACAGAAAAAATCCACTGGACTCTAAATATCTGTGATGGCAGCATTGAAAACATTTCCTACAGCCACAGCAATCATTTTCAGTGTCTGGGTCTGTGGATGTGATTCATTGCTGTGATTCTGACTCTTCCCATCAAGGAGTTCTTTGTCTTTCTCCAGGAGTGGAAGCTCCTGTGGGGGATTGTGATTTCAGATGGGGCTTTTCCCTTTTTCGGTAAACGCATATCCTTTCTCTACAAGCAGATTGGCCATATTCACTCCTGATGGTAAGAAAATATCGACCCCGTAAGATAGCATTTCCTCTTGTGCCCTAAGAGAGATAATTGTGATGGCGAGCGGTTTTCCCAGGAGCAGTTTTCCCAGGAGCAGTTTTCTGACATCTAAGAGACAGAGCAGAGATGTTTGCTAAAGAACATTTAATTGCGGCTGGTGGAAGTAGTTCCAGGTCTTTATGCATCTGTGGTAGATCACTGAATGACACGGTCTCCTGATTCCCATAGTCGATATAAAGGACTTGTGCCGTCTTCATGCTGACTTCTGTGTCCTGCACAAACACTCTATACCAATGCTGATCCTGGGAGTATTTAGCGACACAGACCTCCCCTATGGCTGGGGTATAGCCATCCTGGATGTTCTGTGGGTTTCTGTATATGAAATGTAATGCTGTTGACATCTTGAGCAGAGATTCCACTGATTTGGTGTTGTAGATTTGAATATGAAAATGACATGGGTATGAAAATTCCACAACAAGTCCCTCAAATTGCCTCAGAGAGTTTTTGCCATGAGGTGCCATGTTGAACTTCCAGTGACCGGTATGAAAGATTGTGAGAGTGATAACACCAAATTTAATACATCTGCTCCCCATTCACACCTGAGACCTCGTAACACTAACGAGTCACATGGCACCGGGGGCCCAATTTGGACATTTCCATTTAGGGGTGCATTCACTTATGCTGCCAACAGTTTAGACATTAATGGCTGTGTGTTGAGTTATTTTGAGGGGACAGCATATTTACACTGTTATACAGGCTGTACACTTACTACCTTACATTGTAGCAGAGTGTCATTTCTTCAGTATTGTCACATAAAAAGATATTGTAAAATATTTCCAAAAATGTGAGGGGTGTATTCACTGTTGTGAGATACTGTATGTATAAGCTAGCCAAACACTGGCAGTAAACCCACTGCCTTGTTGCATCCAATGCTGTATGCATTAGTGAAAAAAGTGTAAAACTGGTGCCCTCTTAGGACTTTATACAAAAAACATGATTACATTACATCAGTGATTCAATGTTTTGACCCCTCCTTTGATCTTGAGAAAGTCTCAATGAGGGACTGAAATTTTGATCCAGTGATGTAATGTTCACTGTTTGATTGATTTGCTAATTAAAAGATAAAATAGTTTTTTGTATAAAGTCCTAAGAGTGCACCAGTTTTTCACACACACACACACACACACATATCTTGGAGTTGCACCTGATGATTACTAGACTTAATGGCATGGTGCAAGGTTTAGCAGCAACATTTAGTAATAAAAACTTTATTCAGGACAATAGTAGCAAAATACATCACACATGTATACAGAGAAAACAAATCACCACATTTACTCATTCTCCTGGGCAAAGTTGCCAATTCAGAGCCAAGCTAATTCAAAAGAAAGACTACACTACAAAGAACCCTGAAGTTAACACCTCCTATCATGAAGAGGTGCTATTATTGCAAAATAAACAATGCTTGAAAATAAAAATAATTTATTTTTTTACTTGCTTGTTTATCTGTTTGTTTATTTAGATTTTTTACTGGTTTTCTTTTTTTTTTCCCTCTAATTTATATATATATATATATATATATTAGCAGATCTCACTTGAAGAAATGTTTCTTTGATAGATTGCATTTAGATTAGGTGACCAGAATATTAACTGGATCATTGTTTAACAGGATCGGTTGTTATAAGTGCCCAAAGTCAAAGAGGAGGTCTGAATACTGTAAACTGATGTTCTAAAGAGTTGAAGCAGACAGATCTTTAATTGGAAATTATTATTGAAAAATATGTGATGTGAGATTGAGGAGATGAAATGGGTGAAAACTGGAGACGATTTAGCACTGTTATATTTTTTCATTGCTTTGCTCTTTAACTCTGACATCTGACAGATGGCCATTTTTCTAAACCTTGTGTCCTTGGACATGCCGCAATATAGTTTTTCATGATACTTTCACAATAATACAGGTGAATCAATCATTGGATTGGTCATTAATCAACATGTGCATGTGCTGTTGCATGTGGATCCAATCAATATTTATCTTCTGTCGGTGACTGCTTAGGTTAATTATCTATAGTAATCATTACCATAGAAAATCTCCTCTTCTGTGCTGCTAAACAGGATGAAAAGTTACTGGCCACTCTAAACTTGGAGGGTACATGACATCCTCCCTAGGTATAAATTTCTGCTAGCCATGGCTGAATTTTCACTCACCAATGACTAATCGGCAAGTGTAATTTTTGAACAGTATTGTAATTGCTAGAACAGATGTACATTCATACCTCCCAACATTGCACACACTTTAGGAACAGCTAGTCCACAGATGTTTGTTGGGTGCAATATATAATCATATATGGATGCATTACTAATATAAGCATAAGAAAACCTGTAAGTCATTGAGATATCAAAAGTATGGATGTATAATTAGAACTCTAAAAATATAATTAGGGCTGCCTTACATTTTTTTCTTGCCTCAAACCCCATCACTAACACATACCACCAAATCCACTACACTTTATGATACCATTGATCCACTGATGCATATGAGTACTGATACAATCTCAGATCTATGTCTTTCAAAAACTTCAGAGTTCATCTAAACGTTATGCCTAATTGTGGATATGTTAATCTGAAAACAATAATCTGGAACACAGCATGAAGCAGTGCAGACATTAGACCTTCATCAGAAAAAATTTAATGAGTCATTCAAAGTTATATCTTGGGATGCTGCTTCATATGATTGACACCAGATTTCATGTTACTGTCATTGCAGCAAACAAATAGTCAGCATATTCTAGGTTGCATGACTTATACAGACACATAGGCTTTGATTTAATATTGTTGGATAAGCTTTCCAAATGATTTAATATTTTTGGATAAACATTTCAAATGACTTTTTAGCATATAAAAATATCAAAACATATATAATATCTAAAAAAAAATAAACAATATAAATAAATTTTAAATTCTATATTTGTTTTAATTATTTGTTTCAGAATATTAAATCATTTTAAAAGTTTATCCAATAATCTAAAATC